AACACACAGGTATTTGAACAAGCATCTACTTTAAGCCTTTCTTTTCCTACAATGATCATTTGTCCAGTACCATTTTACAGTTCTGGTAGTACAGGAATATAATTTAATTGTATGGTTTCCAGAATAAAGTCTTTTTTGTTATCATCATTGTCCCTTCTAATTTTAAGTCAGATTAGGCCTATTAATTTTATCTTGGTGAAAAGGAAAAGAGTTGGGCTTGCCATTAAATAAGTCATCAAGCACCTTGCAGGTGAATGTGAGAATTTGTTCACTCTGTCCAAATTTTGTTAAAGGACACTATGGGGGATGGATTCCAGTATCTCTTACTCCTCTTCCATGTCACTTCACTGGTTTAGCCTGGGTTTAAATCCCACAGAAGACATGGACGTTGCATATCGTGCCTGCAAGGCAAAGGGGCACTCAAAATACAAAAATATCAGTTAATACAGCAGATTGTGCTGTTCCTTAACTTTTTGATTTGATTCAGAATATTATTTTTCACAAGTTGTTATTATTACAGCGTGTGTGTGTGTGTGATTATGGCAAAGCCTCGAGGGCTATCTGCCTAAGAGGAGGGATGCCTTCGTGGAGGACTTTCTAAGGAAAACTGGCTCGTATACACGTTACACATGGGGAAAACCACGAAAACACCCATGCAGCCAGCCCGTTCGCGGGATTCGAACCTCGGACCGAACTACCAGTGTTCAGCGACTTTACCGCTCGGCCGCTGGTGGGCCTGTTATTATTACAGCAATTTTATGAAAATTAAAGTTTGAACTTTTGATTATGTCAAAAAAAGTTTCTCATTCTGAAGCTGCAACAGGATCCACAAAGCGAGAGCATGTTTCAATATCCATTAAACAGAAAGTGCAATTGCTGAAAAAAATGGATAAAAGTGTATATCCGTCTCAGAATTATGCGAGGAATATGGTATTGGAAGGTCAAAATGTATATGACATAAGAAAACAGAAAAAATAACTTTTTGAATTTTTTATGGATTCCGACATCCCACTCACAATGAATAACATAAAAGTTATTCGTTATGCTAAAAGTGACAATCATGACAAAGTGATGACTGAATGGGTCAGACAGCATCTAAGCGAGGGTGTGCCATTGATGGGTCAAATGCTACTGACACAAGCCGAAATATTTCTTGATGAAATGAACTTGAAAACTGAGTGCACATATTCGACAGGTTGGTTAATCAAATTTTAAAATCACCATGATATAAGGCAACTAAAAATTTCAGGCGAAAAAGCTTCAGCTCATACTGAAGCTGCTGAACTATTTGCAGATGAATTCATTGAACTCATTTAGAGTGTAAAGTTATCCCCAGAACAAATTTACAACCCTGATGAAACTGGTCTTTTCTGAAAATATGTACCGCGAAATACCTAGGCAACGTCTCCAGAAAAGGCTCTAACTGGTGTCAAAGTTTCTAAAGTGAGTCTAATAATTTTAGCATGCACAAATGCTGCAGGAATGCACAAGTGTAAACCTTTTGTAATCGGAAAAAATACACGACCTCCAGCATCTAAAGGAGTAAAGATTTTCCCTGTTTTATATCATGCAAATAAAACAGCATGGATTAAACAAGTGTTAATGAATTCAGTTGTTTGAAAATCATTTCATACCCGAGGTTCGACAACATTTGAATTCGGTTGATTTACCTGATGACGCAAAAATCGTCCTGTTCAGCTCATAGAGAGTTTTAGTGAAATATAATGTATCCGTATTATTCTTTCCTCCAAATTGTGCATCCATCATTCAGCCTATGGTATTGGAACAGTGCATGTGCTGAAATGCAGATATAAAGAGGCATTTTTAAAATCCATGTTAAATTTCTTCTTGAATAATGCCAAAACTATTCAAGAATTTAAAAAAAAAAAAAAAAAAAATTAGCATAAAATCTGCTGTGCGGAGGGAGCATCGCAAGATGGTGGGAGGATGTGTTTCCACATACTGAAGCTGCTGCACTTGCCTACAAGACACTGGCCATTACTAAGGCCAGAAGTAGTGGCCATTTTATTGTGGAGGCATCTAATAGGCAGCCACCCATGAAGTTACTTCCCATGAAGGGACAGACAATTTTACATCCACTCCTTCTCCAGGAATCGAAGCAGGGCCCTTCGGTATCGCAGTCAGGCTCCCCTAACCACTGTGCTGTCTGGGCAGCTTCAAATCAATGTGGAAAAGGTAGACCTAGTTTTACCAAATATGCAAAGCCATTCAAAATGAAAAAATATTATCAATTAAAGATCCCTAATGTCTTGGTAAAATATTTTAGGTTTTTAAAACTAAAATTCATAAAAGATTTTTAAAAACTAAGATATTACCAAATAATACCAGTGTGGATCTTTTGTGTCCTACCTTTCAGTGTGACTTTTGATAATTTAACTGATGAATGGGAAACTTTTGCAGTTTTGAACTAAAGTTCATTCTAAAGCTGAGGTTAATATCCTTGTAGATAGGTATTACTGCCTTCTTTTCATCAGTAACATGCAACTGATGATTTGAAGTACCTTTACTTAAGAAAAATTATTAAATGCTCCACGTGTCTTTCTAATGAAAATGAAGAATGCAGAGCATTTCCTTTTTTGGGAAAGGTTCATACTAAAGATTGTTTTGAAACATAAGAGGAACATACACTGAATGATTAATTGACTGTAAAAGGTTTGGTTTATGTGATTACAGCAAAGCCTCCAGGGCTATCTGTCTAAGGGAATGGATGCCTTCATGGAGGACTTTCTAAGGAAGCCTGGCACATATACATGTCACATATGGGGGAAAACCATGAAAATGCACATATGCCCAGCCCTTTCATAAGATTCAAACCTCGGACAGAACTACAAGTGTTCTGCGACTTTACCGCTCGGCTTGATTGTAAAAGAAGCTCTCAGTTTGTATCATAATAAATTTGAGCGATAAGAGTAGACTTTAAGGTACCTCTTGTATTATGGCGAAGTTGTTGTTTCATTTATGGTAGTCTGAGTAGTTGAATGTTATGGAAACCCTATTGTGATGTAATCGGGTGCATGATTCTGGGAAATTTTGAATAATGGGATGTTTTGTAAGCACTTTTGTGGTATGTGTTGGTTTTATTGTTTAGATGGTAGAAGATGGCTGAATGGCTGTAGTAAGATTAATTTGAAGTTTCTGTACGATTGGAACGACGAAAGGGGAAAAGAGCGTTAATTGACTGCGTTGATTGGTGTGTAAATGAAGGTTTACTAGTAGTAGTCATTTATATGTGGCCTGTATGTAGGAAGGAAATGTGCTTAGTTGAACATAAAAGCTGTTTAGATGGATATGAATGGGTTTGTAGGAACAAAGGTTCCGACAATTTTAAGAAGCTTTTGGATGCTGTTAAGAAATTTTATGTGCCACAGACTAAAGACGAAGGAACTTCTAAATAGGGTAAGTGGTTTTTGTAGTGCTTAAATGTATAACATGTTTTTTCTTTTTTATGTTATTTTATTGTTTGGTTTAAAATGTAGTTTATTGAGAGTATGTATATTTTGTTTGCCTGTGTTGTAAAAATGGGTGCCCCTTTGACTTTTCAAATGTATTGATGTGTACATGGACAAAGTGAAAGGAGTGCCCAATGCAAGTTTGTGCAATTCTTGGATTTTTTTTAAAGTGAAAACAGGTTGATGTGCACATGGATAAAGTTAAGTGAGTGCACAATGCCATTTTTGTGCAATTTGGGGATTTTTTTTTAAGTGAAAATAGGTCGATGTGTAAGATACCGAGTTTGTGCAATTCTTTGACTTACTTGACAAATAATATTAGACAAGAGGATCTCATCACTCATAACTTCAATTTTTTAAAGAAACCAACATTATAATTTTCAATATTGTGGTATTCATATTAAATAACATTCTGTAAATCATTCCCCATCCAGGAGCAAGCTTCACAGCTACACTTTCATCTATTTAGTTTATATTGGACATTAGGTCTTACATGTGTATTTAATAGCAATTATAATTATTTAATAGCAATTATAATTTTTAATTTAAAAATCATGCTTCAGGTATGTACAATTAAATAACTAAACACTGAAGTTTGATCATATCTGAATTGCTGGTGGGGGATTTCACATAAATAAACTAAAAATGTACCTTATTTAGAGAAACTATCTTACAAACTAAAGAAATTTTAAAAGGATTAGAACTCTCTACACCATACATTCACTTCTATTATTAGTCAATTTCCTCATATTTTTTAAACCATTGTTACAGCTAGAGCACAGCATAAAGAGGTAAAAAAAAAAAAAAAAAAATACATGTGATTGTTTCATACTTTGGAAAAGAAACTGATACAAAATAGCCTAGTAAGCAAACAAATATATAATTTAGCAGACAGACATGTTCACAGATATTACAAAAACATTTCCTCAAATACTTCATGCATGTTCATTACTTACCTGCATAGGTTGCTTTAAGAATGCTTTGCATTAACGATAAAAATTTTGTAGTTTAAATAATGCTTTGCATTAATGTTAAATTTTCACTAACGTCATGTCGTAACTAACACCAAACGCTGTTATTAACTTAGTTTTGCAAAAATATTACACACTTAAACAATAGCTTTCCAAAACATATAATTATATTTACAAAATATACTTATAATTTGATAAAATATTAAAGGTAAGTCAAGACGTAAATTTCATTTCATCTGAATTCTTTATGCTTTTCAACTAACGCGCGAAAATGAATCATTGGAATTTTCACCTTAGGAAGAAATTTTCCTGCACTCTGAAGGGAAATGTTTGCCTCTGTAATAGTTCGCAGGACTATGTAGGGAGGGACTTTTAAATTTAACACAATGATCGCAAAGCCTTCGTATCTGGAAAGAGTAAACAAACCAATCTCAAAATTTTCCCCTCCGCTGAATTCGCGAGTTATCTAATTTGGCGGGAAAATATTGCAAAGAGCCGGCTATATGAAACAGGCCCCAAAATAAAAAAAATAAAAGAAAGCTACACTGATTTCACTTACCAATCCAATAACGACAGATTATATTTACTATCCTGGAAAACGCAACTAGAGAGCACTTTATGAAAGAGGTAAATAACAATAATAGAGTTTGCAGTGAAAAACATATTACCCTACCCGAGGGCATATAAGACGCCACTGGTATCAAAGAATCTTAGAGATTCTTTGACTGGTATATATAGTTGGAGCAAACCGCATGTGTTCGTTACTGAGTAAGGGGTACATCGGTTGACTCGAAGTATCGATTCGGTACTCACAAATTCATTTCGTTACTCGCACCCGTCGTACGATGCGGTTTGTTCGAGTACGAATGATGCGGTTGCTATACGAATACGAATGATGCGGTTTCTAATGCAGTTGCTGTTCGAATACGAATGATACAGTTGCGTCACAATGCGCTCATATTTTTCATAGATAATTTTGAATTTTTTTGGGCATCTGGCAAACTCTTGTTTACATTATGTGTTTTAGTTGAAATACTATTTAGTTGTTGATATTTAAGAAAATGAGCAATTTTGATAGCGTGAAGCGTTATTTTGTATTTGCTTTTTGCTATTGCTATTTATGTTTGTAATTTGCAAATTTAGATGATTCTTTTTTTTTTTTTTTTTTTTTTCCCTTGAGAGTGCCATAGTCAGATTTTATTGATTTGAAATGTTTATATACTGCACTTAGGTATTGTTCATATAAGAATATGTAGGTTAATATAGGTTCTTTACTTCCTTGTATCAAATAAAATGGTAGTAATTATTGTAATCGAGAAAACGTTTGGGTATCATATTTTAACGGAAATATCCGTTTTCGACGATTACGGAATCCATGTGAATTATTTTTTGGGCTGATGCCTGTACGTACGAACACAATGAAGGAATCTCTCTCTCTCTCTCTCTTTTTTTTTTTTTTTTCAAAAAAACTTATTGTTAAATGTAATCCCATTTACTCTAAGCTGATACTTATAACTAATGATTATGACTCTAAGTTGATACTTGAAAGGGATGTTTTTCGTGATGTGTAAGTACGTATGTATGCATTTTGCATAACTCTAAAACGGTTAGTTACAGAACGTTGAAATTTTGTATATGGGTCCCTTATAACATCTAGATGTGCACCTCTCATTTTATTGCAATCGGTAATACTACCAAACGTAAATATGTATATATATATCAAATAAACTGTAATTAAATGTAAAGTACATATATATATATATGTCCTTATAATTAAATGTAAAGTACACACACACACACACACACACACACACACACATATATATATATATATATAAAAAGCCAAGTAAGGTGAAATAAAAGCTTTGGCTTTTATTTTATTTAATTATCACTAAATAAGTTACTTGACTTTTATTTTCGCAATCATCGGTTGTAGTCAGGACTTAATTTTTAAATTAGAAGTTCTGGAGCTCTATGGAAGGCCATCAGGAAAGGAATAAATAAATAATAAATAAAATAAATAAAAAACTATTACAATAATAAAATAATTAGCAACTAGAATATTAAATGATTATTATTATAATTCAATAAAAATTTAAAGACAAATGACAATTTAATTAATTCTTAAATTAATGATAAATAATAAGTAATGAAAAAAATACCAGACATCGTCTGTTTGGGGGCTGTGGCTAAAATTGCAATTTAAGAACAAGCCGAGCATTAGCTAAATTTAGGCTTTTGATGAGCAAATAATGTACTGTTTACCAGAGTATAGATAGAAATTGGTTATGTAGCCCATTCTTCTAAAACGACGTTTCGTTAGCTGCCTTCCACCACCAATTCCCCCCCTTTTTTTTCAGTTTCGGTTTATTCGGTTACAGCAAAGCACACTAGGGCTATTGCCTACGGGGAGGGAGGCCTTCGTGTAGGATTTTTTAAAGGGAACTGACTCATATGCAAGTTACACACGGAAACAATGAAAACGCCCGTGCAGCTAGCCGTTAGCCGGGAATTGAACCCCGGACCGAACTATTAGTGCTTAGCGACTTTACCGCTCGAGCTGTGGTGGGCTCTTTTTTTCTTTTCATTCGCTGTTTGAAAAACGGGTGTTCACTTTACGATAAAGTAAGCACCTGTTTACTTCAATTAAAATGGGTTAGACGATATGACTCTTCCTACTTTAATCTCACTTAGCTTTTGATTTCTAATATTGATTAAATGTTTTCTGTAGACAAAGTATTCTGATTAGAATAATAGATTTCAAACATGTTCAAAAGGTGTGTATCTGAATATAATTAGGTTTTTATAAAATAGGGCACATTTTATTAGTTTCACATAGTTCTAAAGCAATTGAACCAAAGCATCGCTGTTTGAAAGAAAGTAAAAATGTGAGAAATGTGTATATGAAACTTTAATATACAGGCTTTATTAAAAGTAGTCAGCCTTTAAAACGTGACCGTCTATGCTTTAGAGGATTTTGGAGCTCTGTGCATTTGCTCTGGCATCTTAAAAAAGTGATGTTCAATATCAACGGATGTTTATGTTCTCAAAAATACAGGTTTCTTCAGAAAGCGACCTCTTAGAAGTCGTCAATAAATGATTCAGTATAGTTATTTTCTAATAGACCATAGAATAAATTATTTTAACGACAATTTAAAATGGCTGCTTTGCTAAGAGTTTAAGAGCAATAAGACTCTAATTTTTCTTTCGCAATTAGCTATATGCCAGCTGAATTGTTTTCTGCATTACCTTATTGTGTATAATTGAAATATTTAGCTATGCATTCAACAAAGATACAACAAATGTAAGACAAATCATTAAAAAAAATTAAAATTTGGAACATTAATGATAATTTTTTTATTATACATAAAAATATTAATGAATGATGAATTTATATATATTATATAAATCAAAATTTAAACTCCTATTTCTTTATAATAAATTGAAGAAAAGCTATAAAGTGAATTAATTTTTAAAAAACAAAACGAAAATTAAAAAAAAAATTTTTTTTTATACCTATTAGAATTAAAATGACGAATACTGAATTTACGATTCATGTAGTTGGTGGTATTTAATTATGGCAAGGCACTCTATGTATCTGCCTAAGGGGGGATGCCTTCGTGGAGGACTTCTAAGGGACTGGCTCGTATACACGTTACACATGGATAAACCATGAAAACACCCATGTAGCCGACCGTTCGCGGGATTCGAACCTCGGACCGAACTACCAGCGTTCAGCGACTTTACGCTCGGCCGCTAGTGGGCCGTTTCACGACTCATAAATAATAAATGCATTCATATTGTAACAGAAATTTTTTTAGAAGCTAGCATATGATGTATTTGTGATCTTTTAAAACTGTCGTAACATGATGCATATTTCATTATCGTGAACCCAAAACAGTATGCTTTACATCCTTACAAATATAGTGATAGATTTTCATATTATTTCTGCATATACTTACGTTCCTAAAGACGAAGCAAGCAAAAAATTTTGTGTATTAAGCAGATTTAAGTTCTCTGATAGCTAGTGTAACATAATTTCGGATTC